TTGGAGTTGTTGTCTTGTGAATACAAAAAGCAACGTAGGGACTTTACTTCTTGGGTTGGGCTTAATTCTATATAGTGAATTGCTACATCACCTCATGACTTCAAGCTTAGCACCCCCCTGAGTTCATATTTTCATATTAAAATTTGAGCCCTTTTTCTTAGTTTTGTATTTTTGTAATTGTAATAAACCATAAAAATAGTAGATTTTAATAGAAATTTTAGGAATTAATTCTCTAGTTTTTTTAGAATTTTTTATTTACGTAAAACTAATAATAGAAAATACTTTTTCTTTCTTGTTTTCATCTGTATTTTCATGCCGCTTTGCCATGTTATTTTTGACGTGTTTGTTCATTGTGCAAGATACTTTTTGCTTTCGATTATGTAACATAACAGGTAGTTATGTAATCGAAGCATACGGCTTATGCTCGCTTCTGATGCAACACGCCTTATTTCTCATCATCCTGAGAAATTCATACAGTATTATATGTTGTCCTGACACATGTGATGCTTTATGATATCTTGTGCATAAAATTCTGATTACGCGTTGCATTCGTAACCCGCGTTTGCTTTTATCTTAGTTGGATAATATTTCTGAATTTGTTTGTTTCTTGGTGAAACTTGCTCGATGTGTACTCCCTTCTTCTCCATTGCTTTCGTCCGCTCTTGACGATTTGCTCGCTTTTGGTAGTCCCTGCTACTACCTTCGTACTTCTTCGCACTTTACTACATTTCATTACTGATTTCTGATGCCATGAGAAGTAGGAATAGAGATGTATGACGGGGTCTCCGTTGCTGATCATGTCAGGAACCCCTCTGGTTTATTTAAAGACTCGTTTAGGGCAATTCCGCATTGTATGCATTCTGTTTTCTACTTGTGCATTGTTTGTTTAAAACCCTACCTTTGTGTAGGTATTTTGCAGGTGTGTTTACATTTTGTGCCGGCATTATTTCCCCATCCCTTATTGAAGTCCTCAAAAGGAGGCGAGCAAGGAGGGTTAGCAATTAACACCCGCAACTTCGTTCCTGTCATCCTTAGCTCGTGATGCACCATGATGCTTCGGAGTTGTGCCTGCTCTTGTGTATCGAGTCGTCAAGTGGGGAAGGGTTCCGCAATCGACCCCCATGCTTTGTCAGGAGTTCGCATTGGCCGATGCTGATACTTCGTGATCGTTCATATTGCCTTCTGTCACTTACCTCGATCTCCTATATCTTGGTTAGGTGTTCAGTCACTTTGGACATCACCTTTTTGTTTTACATCTCACTCCCGCTTGTTTGTCTCGGGTGATACGCTCCCCTTGACTAAACAATTTCTCTTCTTTTCCTTACTCTTTTATATTTGTGCTTCTTCAAGTTTTCTTATTTTATCCTTGTACATAACATGTTCCCTTAGGATGTGCTTGCTCCTTTAGGATACAATTTAGACCTTAGGTTACAAGCCATGCATGCTAACATTAGGTAGATGTTTCTCTTTTGTTAATCCAAACCGTAGGACTACCATTGTATGATAACATTAGGTTAGAAATATGATAGTCTCGCTTAGACTCTTTTCTTCCCTTTTCACATATGCATTTAAAACTAAAACCGTTTCTTAGCAAATCAAGAACATGCTAATCTCACTTAAACCCTTTTTCAAGGTAACAAAATACAAACCAACTCAAACCTTTTTGTGCGCCCAAGCACCTTTTCTCTAAAAACCTTTTCAGGTAAGGACATGATTAATTTACTTTTGTGTCAACGCATAAGTCTCCAAAGGTCGAGATGCGGCAGAAGGCAAAATTAGCATCGTCCATAAAAAACACAAAACAAACAAAAACATGTGAGCCGAACTACGGTAGCTCTGATTCCTCAAAAAGGATATGTAGGATTTAGGGTAGGTCCCAAGCGAGTACAACTTTATTTTCCCTACATTCTTTTCTCCTTTATTTTGCATGCATTCTCCCTTTAGCAGTAGTAAGCAGTAAGCATAGATTAAACACACCCATAAGATAGACAACAATAGTGGATACCGTAGAGTACTACAGGCGTGCATGATGCTAATACCTTCCCCTCTCATAACAGACTCTCTTACCCGATCTCTCGGTCGTAAGACCGTGACTTCTCCCTTCTCAGGTTTTCTCGATGTTTACCTTTCCCTTAATGTGGGATAAAAGGCGTTCGATGGCGACTTCATTGTTTGATGATTTTCAGCTGGTTGTTTCAACGAGTAAACCTTGTTCTTGTATTGGCATCACGCCACGTTACAAGTCTTCTTTGTCCTTATATTGACATCACACCATGTTACAATTCTAACCTTTGTCTTGTATTGGCATCGCGCCACGTTACAAGTCTTCTTTGTCCTTATATTGGCATCACACAACGTTACAAGTCCAATATTTGTCTTATATTGGCATCACACCATGTTACAAGTCTTCTTTTTCCTTGTATTGGTATCACGCCATGTTACAAGTCCAACCTTTATCTTGTATTGGCATCACTCCACGTTATGAGTCTTCTTTGTCCTTGTATTAGCATCACGCTACGTTACAAGTCCAACCTTTGTCTTGTATTGGCATCACGCCATGTTACAAGCGTATCTTTTCCTTGTATTGGCATCACACCACGTTACAAGTCATTACCTTTCCTTGTATTACCCTCTGTTGCTACGTTATAAGTCTAGTCTCCGTCTTGTATTAGCATTGTCGCTAAGTTAAAAGCTACCCTTAAATCTTTCTCACCAGAAAAAGCAAAAATTCTTTCCCCAACAGATATCACAAAAAAATAAAAAAAAATAAACACTCACACTTTCTTTCAGAACAAATTTTTGGCATTTGGTATTTAATCATCTTCTACCTCGAACGTCTGAAAGGCACGCGCCAATCGTACTTTCAAGTTTAAGATGATTAAATAGGGGAAGCTATAATACCCCAAATTTGTCCTACCTTTTCAACAAATCATCTGGCTTATGCGTCTCTTAATCATCATGTACATACCTCCCATTAGGTCATCTAACACATCATGCATCATTAATCAATAATTTAGCATGGGATTAGAGATCTTGAAAAATTAAGGTTTTACAGTGGTTAAGGCGTTCCTATCCAATAAAGGCTGATTCCTTCTCTAAGCATTAAACAGAGGCATTAAGGTTGTGATATGTGGTTATTGAGATTTCTTTCTCCTTAAGCTACAAAGCTATTATTTCCATATCAACAGTAGGTCGCAGGGTTTTCCTCTTTAGAGCTATGAATCTAGGGTTTATATCCTATTATACTTGGGTTTGTCAACATTTTTACTGGATGTTTGATGGATAGAAAAACATGACAAAAGGAGGGTGTTGTGAATTTGTTGTGATCAAGGGTATTATTATTCTCAATTGTTTGATTGCTTGTATTGCAAGTTAGCTTGGACGTGAGAATTGAAATTAATATTTCTTCAAGACATGGTAATTTGTGAGGTCATTGGTTATCAAGTCAAAGGTTTGTGGATTGAATTGTGAAATATTGAATCATGACTCAAAGGATAATTTTGTGGGTTCATTGTTATACTTGTAGCTCACAAGGCAAACAAATACCAATTGAATGATTTTGTTAATTGAAGATTGGTTTAGAACTGTTCATTAGATTTCACCATATTGCATTCCAAGTTGAAGAGATTTTCAATGGGAACTTTGAAGAAGGTCTCTCTTAGTCCCTTTTAGGACTTTCATTATATTCATTAAATTGAAGTATAAAAAGGGAAACAAAGAATTGGAAATTCAAATAGATCAAGGTTGAAGGGGAACATTGAGAACTTCAAGCGAAATTAAATGGATGGAAGAAGGCAAAGTGATTCAAAGTTAACTATGGCTTTTGATTAAAGTCAAATTACATTTGAAGGTTGACCCAAGGAGAAAATCACTACAAATCCATGATTTATCTAAGTCACCCGATACATGATCCAATTGCAACAATACCATTTACAACCCAAAAAATTATACAAGTGAGATGCCTACTTAAACCCAAATTAGAGCCCATCCTACTTTACAAATTACTTTTCTTTGAACTCCATCTCTCTTCATGCTCAAGATTTGCATCCATTTATACTTTAGCTTTAGGTGTCTTCAATTTGTTATGTTGGCATCATATTACCCAAAGCTTCCCTGCAACACAAACTCAGTTTAGAAAACATTCAATAACATTTAAACTAGATCCAAAAAACAGTCAAAATTAGCACAACATAGCCGAATCTTGGAGGACTGCTAATTAATAGAAAATGAGAAATCCAGAAAAGGCAAAATATCTAAGAAAATATCAGAAGAAATACCAGGAAACTGTGAGAAATCATAAGGAGGAAAATATAAATCAGAAACAGAAGTGAAAGGGCATAACATAATTTTTACAAGCTCTTAACAAATTTCAATTGCTTCAAATCTCACCATTCATTGCGTGTAACAAATTCAGGATCTAAGGGCCAAGATCGATTCAAATCATAACTAACATCTAACAGTTTTAATCTAAACTATCTCCTTACCGATTATGCCAACCAATAACGGAATGTAACAAACTGTCATAACAAACAGCTCAAATCGACTAACTTGCAACAGAAAACTTCCCTAACCAAAAAAGTCTCAAACTAACCACAAATAACCGAATTTTCATAACAACTAACCAACTAACCTTCTAACTATTTTCGTCAACCCACAACAGTCGGCACAACAGATATAACAGAAAGAGAATTCTCACAAGGGATTCATTCACGACATACACAGAGATAACATTATCCATACAAGAAAAACTCACCAGAAACCTCTGAATCTTTCTCTCTCGAGGGACCATTCTTCAATCTTCATGAACCGTTAACAAACTTCACCCTCATCTCCCTGATTTCTCTTGGAGAATCCACAACCACAACCATAACAACCTTCATTGCTTCTGCAATTCTTTAATATCATCCATGTGATCTGCATCTTCAAGGATACTTATCCTTGCTTCAATCATCAAGAAGCACCTGCAGCATCAACGTGCCTTCAATCGTCAACCTTCAACACTACTGTTTCTGCAATGACATCACGTACATCTCACTCAACATCTTAGTGTTTCTACGAGAACACACATGAACCCCTTCACCAACATGATTCTCATAACAACAACAATGCGGGAATTGAAGTAGAAAGAGACGCAGAGAATTGAATCGAAGATGATAATGAGAGGAATCATAATACTTGTTCACGGCGGCGCCGATTAAAGAAGGAGATTGAGATCGAACAGAAGTGTGAGGTTCGTCAGAGGCCGACAGAGAAGTGAAATGGGAAGCTGAGAGTTGAAGTAAAATGGAGCTTGCCGAAAATTTTGACTTCACCGTTGTGCCTGAGCGATAACGATTCCTATGAAGCCTTTGTGTCATAATCCTTTAGCATCTTCTTGCACGGTTTAGAGTCAATTGAAGGATGCATGCAGATTCCTCTCGATTCTTGTAGAATTTTATTTCCCTTAAACTTAGGTTTTTGGTTCCCAATGTACCGATTTGGCAATACGAGAAGCTTCTGTGGGAAATTGATGTAAGAGTCATTATCAGTGAACAAAATAATGTAGGGTTTTTATTCAACCTGCGGTGATTGGGAGGAGGTTCAAGGCAGTGGTGGCGACGAAGATTCTCGCTGGAAATCGCAGTAAGATAAGAGAGGAAGAGTTTCAAGGTGTTGAAATCAGTTAAACGCATCGTTCCAATTGGGCCTCAGATATTTTCTCTTTCCTTAATCTTCATTTTAATATGCTAATAATGATTTACTGCTAATCATTGAAAGTGTTTAAGGAAATTGGATTGAAAGTGGCATCTGGACCGAAATACTTTGGGTTGAACAGTTTTTGGAAATCAATTGCTGCCAATAAAAAAACTGTTTCATGGGCCCTTCCGCATGGGCCTAACACCCAAATTTCTAGTGGCTATACAACACTATTCTCTATAGTTTACACCCCCTGACTCTTCTAACTTCCTTTTTTACTTTAGTTTTCTCTTCTAGTTTAATTTTGTTCTCTTAATTGATAATAAAAATGATACAAAAATATTAGAATATTTTAGAATTCTTTAGGACCTCTCTTTAGAATTTTCATTAGAGTTTTCTATGGTAGAATGTTGATGTAACTTTTGTGATATGGGATGCTTTGAGATTTATTCGTTCGATCACTTGTGTGAAACAACTTCTGTAGAGTTTTCTATTTGCTTGTGTGGCTACGAATAGGCAACAAACCTTTTTCATTAGGTATCATCGTGACTTCGTTTTATTCCTTATATATCACATTTCTTTACTGCTTTGTGATTCCATGAGCAGTAGGATAAAGATGTATGACGGGGGTCTCCGTTGCTGATCATGTCAGGAACCCCTTTGATTTATTTAAAGACCTGTTTAAGACAATTCCACATTGTTTGCCATTATGTGCTACTTGTGTGTGGTTTTTTTAAAACCCTACCTTTGTGTAGGTATTCCGCACGTGTATTTACATTTGTGCCTGCATTATTCCCCCATCCTTTATTGAAGTCCTCAAAAGGAGGCGAGTGGAAAGGGGTTAGAAACCAACCCCCGCAACTTTGTTTGTGTCATTCTTAGCTCATGATGCACCATGATGCTTTAGAGTTGTTCCTACTCTTGTTATCGAGTCGTTAAGTGGAAAAGGTATTTCATTCAAACCACCACACTTTTTCAGGAGTTCGCATTGGCCAATGCTGATACTCTGTGATTTTTCATATTGCCTTCTATCGCTTACCTTGATCTTCTATATCTTGGTTAGGTGTTCAGTCGCTTTGGACATCACATTTTTGTTTCACATCATATTCCCGCTTATTTGTCTCGGGTGATACGCTCCCCTTGACTAAATCATTTCACTTATTTTCTTTACCTTTTTATGTGTGTGCTCTTTCGATCTTGTTTGTTCATTTTCTTTATATACCATGTTCTCTTAGGATGTGCTTGTTCCTTTCGGATACAAGTTAGACCTTAGGCTGCAAATCATGCATGCTAATATTAGGTACATGTTTCCATTTTTTAATCCAAACCTTAGGACTACCATTGTATGATAACATTAGGATTAGAAATAGGCTAGTCTCCCGTAGACTCTTTTATTCCCCTTTTTTCATATGCATTTAAAACTAAAATTTATTTTCTTAGAAAACCATAAAACATGATAATCGCAATTAAACCCTTTTTCAAGGTAACAAAGCACAAACCAAACAAACGCGACATCTTGCCTTGAGGATGTAACTCAAAACCATTTTCAGGTAAGGACATGTTAGTTTACTTCTGTGCCAACGGGTGAGTCTCTAAAGGTCGAGCTGTGGCAGAAGGCGGAATTAATATTATTAAAAAAAAACACAAACAAATAAAAACATGTGATCCAAACTATGATAACTCTGATTCCTCAAAAAGGATATGTAGGCATTGGGGTAGGGCCCAAGCGAGCACAACTTTATTTTCCCTACATTATTTTCCCCTTTCTTTTGCATGCGTTCTTCCTCAGTAGTAAACACTAAGCATAGATTAAACACAACTATAAGATAGACAACAATAGTGGATATTTTCAAGTACTAAGGGCTCGTGGGGTGCTAATACCTTCCTCTCACATAACAGACTCCCTAACCCGATCTCTCAGTTGCAAGACCGTGACTTTTCCCTTCACAAGTTTTCTCGATGTCCACCTTTTATCATGTGGGATAAAATACGTTCGATGGTGACTTAATTTTATGATGATTTTTAGCAGGTTATTTCAACCGACACTCACTCAATGCATGTGTTACCGACAGGGTAAAACCCTCTCCACAATAATGCAAATTTAGGGCAATCAACTTCACTCGCCAATACAGGCCTTCGCTCACCAGTACAGGCCTTCGCTTTTTGAATGCATGGGACACTATTACGCAACAACATGCTTCACATTTATCATTCTTATTCATTACAATTTCTCTAATTACTGGCCATCACCATCATCATTATCATGTATATCATCTCACACCATCAAAACAATCATCGTACTTAATCACAACATAAATCATGGCATATAAATACAAAACATACACACGTATAGGTATCAATGTTGGTGAAATAATTAATTACTTCATTATAAATCATTTTCATAAGATAGGAATTCATTTTATCTTTCCAACAATCCAAATGGCGCATCAAACGGACACCCGAGGCAAAAGTTATGAGTTTTAGAAGTTTTCTAAAAATGTTGTCAGTAGCAGTGGTAACCGGTTACCCAGTTATGGTAACCCGTTACCGCAAGACAGTAACCTTGTTTTTACAAAATTCCTCACGATAACTGGTTACCCACTTACGGTAACCGGTTACTGTAAGTCAGTAGCTACTGGTTTTCCAACTTTTCATATGGTAACAAATTACCATATATGGGTGATTGGTTACCCTGCGATAACAGGAAAAAATTCTGCAAGTTCCAGTTACAATTTCCCCACATTTTAACACCCAAAATTCATATATTTTTTTCATCAAAATTTACCTTTTAAGCATGTTAATTATTCACCAACATTTTTCTATCAACCTAACCAATTCACATCATCCAATTTCATCAAAATAACACACACAAATCACCAAAAATTCATCAATGGGAAAAACCCCAAAATAACCAAATAGGGAGAAATCACAACATACAACCTAGATCCTACCATATCCCATCATTAGGCAACCATTTATGCAGTTAGAATCCCCCCTTACCTTAGAGTTTTGGTTGATTCTTGATTTCTATGGTGAACTCCTTGCCCTAGCTTCCTATTGCCTTTCTCCTCTTCTAACTTCTATGCTCTTCTTCTATTTTTACGTACTGGCTCTATTCCTCTTCTCCTCACCCTAATATATCTCAATTAATTTAAATAAGCCAATAAATAATTATTTAATTATTATTATAAAATAATAATTATTATTCTAATAATATAATAATAATAATAATAATAATAATAATAATAATAATAATAATAATAATAATCTATATTATTCCATCCACCCCTATGTTTCTACACATTTAGCCATACACCTCCATAACCTTAACTTCTATAATTCTAAGGCATTTAGTCCCTAAAAGGGCATTACACAACATCATCTTATTATTTAATTAAATATAATTATATTAAATTGGGCTGTTATAACTCTCCCCCACTTAGAATATTTTCTTCCTCGAAAATTACCTGAAGTAAATAACTCTGGATAAGCCTCCCGCATCTTGCTCTCTAATTCCCACGTCGCATTCTCTCCAGCAGCTCCGCCCCAAACCAATTTCACAAGGGTGATCTCCTTGCCTCTCAAATTATTTATTTTGCGATTCTTGATCCTCACAGATACAGTCTCGACAGTAAGATTATCCTGTACTTGTACATCGTCTATCAGAATTACATGCGACAGATCTGAAATATACTTCCGGAATTGCGACACATGGAATACATCATGCAAATTTGACAGGTTGGGTGGCAAGGACACTCTATATGTCTTGTACCCCAAAATTTGCCCTCTCATTTTCTCAAGAAATCACCCTGGATCATCAGGTTTACTTCCATCCAATCCCGAGCTTTGAATTACAAATTTTTCAAGAAAGTCGCCTGTAAGGGAAAAATAGTCATTTTCACATTAAAAGGTCAAACTTTGACTTTTGGATCATAATCAAATCTCTGAAATCATATTTCATCAAAACATGTTGGAATATGAAGTTTGTATCATCAAAAAGTTCAAAATCCAAATTTACTATGGAAAAGCCAAATTTCTAAATACTTGGGATTTTTTCTAAGTATTTAAGAAAAAATGACACTTTAGAACTTCTGAGCCAGCCTCCAGGCAGGTGCAGTCAGAAGTTGAAAACATGGTTCAGCACATAGTCTTCAGTCAGAACATGGCTCTTCAGCATCTACGCAAGTTCAGTCAGAGTTTGCTAGAGTAATGCAAAGAAGGTAATAAAGCGTAATACAAAGCCTGAAAGCTCCATCAGAACATGCTGGAGCAAGAAGGTAAGAGGATCAGAAGATTGGATGCTATGCAGAAGCAGAACTTCTAATCCATAGTTTTCAAAGGTAAACCAAAGAAGGTTACTCGAAAGCCTAGGGAATCCTTCAGAGTTTACTGAGGCGACATGATACTAAGGTCAGAAGTAGGGTGTTTTGTTATAGACTACGCTGAAATGGAACTTCTGATCCAGAATTAAGCAATGATGCAAAATATCACATTACAGGATTTCTGATTTTGACAAATCTCATCATCATTTAATGCTCATTAATGCTCACAACCACTTTTGAGTCTTTGTCCAAAGGATCTCTCCACGTGTAGTGTAGAAATACTTTTGTACAGAATTAGGTAAGGGTCCATGCGCTACTTTTTGCTTGTGGGTTAACTTTTCCTTAATCCCTGCTTGCTAATCCAGCCTAGGCTAAAAACTGTCAACTATCACACCTTTTTTTTGAACTTGCTTCAAGAGCAAGTCAGCATCTAGCATATGATGTTGGCACTACTTGGCATTTCAAACCCACAAAACTTTGCCTATAAATAGAACACCATTGGTCACTGAGAGGGGGCCAGAAAAATTTGTGAAAGAGGTCGAAAATTTGAGAAAGAAAAGTCTTGAACCCCTGCCAAAATCCCAAGGGCTCCAAGAATTGTAAACACAACACTTAAAACCTTGTTAACTTTTGACTCCTTACATTCCAAAACTCCACTTGTTCTCAAATATTTC